TAAAATGGCATCTATTAAGGGGGAACATCTTTTTCAAAATAATCCTCCTATGCATAACCTCGTCTCGTTTGCCATTATCAAAAAGGGGGAAATTGTTGAAACACGGGCTTGTCACGTTTTCGTACTAAAGCCGTGTTCGTTTTTGTAACAGGTTTTGATAATGCCAAACCGCCGTGATCAAGTCGAACATTGAATATACAAGGCGAAGAACGAAGATAAGAGCAAGAGCTAAACGAAGACCAAGAACAAAGACCTTAATCATAGTAATGAGTCGGTCTTTATTGTGATCAAGACCGACACAATCTTTACACCTTGGCTCTTTAGGCTAAAAACTCTCATTGCATTTCTTACATCATAAAAATGGTTTTAAACTTGTTTAAGTAATTAAAAACACTTGGTGTTCGCCCAAACCAAAAACCAAGCCATCCAGTGTTCGGCTTTCAGAAACCAGCGTTCGGCTTTCGGTTGTCGGGTTTGGTTTTTTTTGGCATCCGAACCAACCAAGTGGTTTTCAGCATTTTATGATCTCATTTCACTCTTTGGCATGTTTAAACGGTTCTCCAACAAAAACACTTTGAAAACCATCTCTCGCTTTTAGTCGTTTGACAAAAACCACGCAAAACGGCGTAAACTTGGCTAGCCGTGGTTTTTACTCAAATGACGTGATTTTTAAAGTGTCTCACTTGATTTCTTAGCCAAATAAATCAAATAAGTGTTTTAAACACTTGGTTTTTATTTTGGAGAACTTTGGATTTTTCGGTCGGTTTTTGCATCGGTTGGCTAGGCCGTGGTTAAGGCAAAAACCATAGGTTTTTGGCTAACCACCCACCCAGCGATGGGAAGAACATCCCATCGATGCGTAAGTAGCCCCTTAGCCAAACCAACTTCCAGAACCATGCCAAACAGTGATGGGAAGCTCTACCCATCGCTGTTCAAGCCTTGGTCCAACATTATCACAAGGCAGAATGCCCTTACCCAGCGATGGGAAGGTTAAACCATCGATGGGAAGGCATGACCGTTGGAAGTCATTTAAGTTTGATTCTTTCCTTCTTTGGAAGTCAACCTCCCATCCAGCGATGGGAAGCTTGTACCCATCGATGGGTAGGTAACCGGTGGCTTCAAAACTGAAGGAAAATTTGCTTACCAGCGATGGGTAAGTTCCAAACATCGATGGGAAGCCAATATCCTGCAGATCCCAAATTTATTCAATCCCATAAATCAAGCCAATCACCCCTTTAATGCATTGGTCCATTGGAGCCTATTTTGGCACTATAAAAAGGGGTGTTTGGGTCTGCTTTTCACATCAATTCACTTCACTTTATTCATATTATCATTGCATCCAAACAACATTATTTTCCATAGCTTTCTAGAGCCAATTTGTGAAGTTTGAGTTGTTCTTGAGCGTATATAGTTTACTCAACATCTACTCTTAAAGAGAGTCTTGTTCTTGAGTGTCTTAGTGTTGTATACACGTTAAGGGAAGCTTGTTTCCCTTGGTTGTACGAAGGAAAGGTATTTTCCTTCGGGTTGAAGTCTTGGAGTGCGGTATCTCCGAGCAAGTTTTGTTGAGGCTCGTGGGACTCGAGTTCTCAGGTTGTAACGGTTTGTTAAGCACCCGTAAGCTTAACGGAAGTAGTGTAGCTCGAGAGAGTCTCTAAGGAGGCTGGATTAGCCACAAGTTGTGGTGAACCAGGGTAAAATTCGGTGTGCCTCTTACTCTTCTCTTTACTTCTCTTTTAAGTTTTTTTTATTCCTGCGATTTCTACGATCAAACGCTATTCACCCCCCCTCTAGCGTTGGTCACTTATTCTAACAATTGGTATCAGAGCCTAACTCGCGTCCAAACTTAACCGTTTGAGAGTAAAGCGATCATGGGTTCTTCTTCTAGAAATTTGTATGCAGGAATAGGTGAAGGGCAATCAACCACACGACCACCTCTTTTTGATGGAACCAATTATACATATTGGAAAGAACAAATGAGAATCTATATTCGTTCCACAAACTTCCAATTATGGTTGGTTATCAAAAACGGGGAAGAGGTACCGATGAAGAAAGTCGGAGACAAGTTGATCCCCAAGACCGAAGACGAGTTTGATGCCGAGGACATCAAAAAGGTCGAGAATTATGCAAAAGCAATTAACATGCTTTATTGTGCCGTAAATCCTGATGACTACCGCAAGATCTCTTGCTGCTCAACCTCCAAAGAGATGTGTGATAAACTTGAGGTGACGTACGAAGGAACGGACCAAGTACGTGAAGCCAAGATTGACTTCCTCACCCAAGAATATGAGATGTTCAGGATGAAGGAGCACGAGAATATCGATGATATGTTCGACCGTTTTTCCAAGATAGTCAACGATCTTCATGCATTAAAGAAGACTTACACCGACAAGGATCTTGTGCGAAAGATGCTACGGAGCTTGACATCCGAATGGCGATCCAAGGCCGATGCCATCTATGAGTCAATCGGCACATCAACTGTCACCATCGACGGTTTAAGAGGTAATTTAAAAACTTATGAATCTACTATACTTAACCCGTCTTTGAATGACCAGAGAAAAGGCATAGCATTAAAAGCCTCCAAAGAACCGACAATGAATGACTCAAGCGAC